CTGTAAAATTAATTAAATATGTACTTTTAAAATGCATTAATATAAACCTAGACTGGATGGTGTGCAAAAATCTTGTAAACTCAACGTAACTTTGAAAATCCGACCACAGAGCTTTTAGAGAAGTTTCATAGAAAACATTTAATAACTTACAGTTGACAATGGCAATGTTTATTCCTGGCGCAGCATTTCCAATCTTTTGTCCTATGAGCCTGAAATGTAACCAAGCGTTAGTCAAGCAACTCCTTTCTTACGGACGTTTTCACTTGGCCCAGTCTCTCTAGCCCGCTGGTACTTACCACCTCTCGGCCGCCCTGCCTGGCCTTGGTGGGGCTCCCTAGAACGTCACCCCCATACTCCCTTCATACATGTGTGTCCCCAATTTCTATAAACTCAGTCCCTCGGGGCAGCTGGAAACTGCATTTAATCTCATATTTAGACGGAACGGCTTGGGAGAGGAGAAACTAATACTTATTTAGCTCCGGCTCTTTACAAACATTCTTTCGCTGAATCTGCATCCACCTCCTGAGCATCTGTTCCTCCATTTTACAAACATGAAGCAGTGAGAAGTGGATCAGTAGGAGGTGGATTCAGGCAAGTCTGCTGGCCTCAACTTCTGCCCCTCAGCATGGCGACGGCTTTGCTTGACTCTTGGCCATCCTTTTCATCCGACCACTAACTTTAATACAGTTTCTCTATTTAAATAAGTACCTTAAACTGTGTTACCTAATTTTCACTTTTAAATTGGAGAATATGAAATGTCGAGTTCCAGGGGATTGTGTGCTAAGACCAGGAGGACTAAGTGACTTTCCCAGAGATGGTAATTATTGCTGAAGGGCAAAGAAACTGTGTGTGCACGTGTACATGCACACGTGCCTCTGTCGTGCCCTGACATGCCCCCTGCCAAGCTTTAGAATCGACGTCAGCTTCAGGAGAAGAACCTGGAAGCTTTCCTCCTCCTGCCATGCTGTGGAACAGTGTGCGTGGCACTTTGATATTCTTCTCTGACGTCTTCCCTGAAGTCCCTATGAGTATTCTAGGCTTAGTGCTGTCCGAGAGTTGTAGAGAACGCTCCATAAGAACTTGAAAAGAAGCAAAAAGAAGGTTGTGTTTCTGGTAATGGGAAGTGGGTCAATCCGAATCTACTCTCCCATACAGAAAAACAGAAAGCAGGAGGCAGCTTTTTTTTTTAAAGCTCTGCTGGAATACACTGGAGACTAATAAGGTAGTAGACAATCTCCCAGGCCAGGATCTGGGGGGAAGACTGAATTTCCTGGTGGTGGGTCCAGCATCTGAAGCTAGTGTCACCCAGGGAGCATCCGCTGATTCCAGAAAAGGCACCTAAGCAAGTGGACAGCACCTGTGACCACCACATGAGGGCAGAAGCAAGGTGAGGGCCATGCCAAATCCCCCATATCTTATCTGAGTTGGGGTCGAATCCTAAAAGTGAGGAAGAACCAGAAATAAATCAGAACTTGCATACACTTCAGCCCAGTTTTGAGTCAACTGGGTGGCCCAGAAAAATCTCAACCTTTAGAATTTATTCAGTTCATCCTCTTCTGCTAACGGTTCCAGGCCCCTGGCAGAAGCAAAGAATCATCCTCAGCCGAAGAAGAAATCATCCCATGCCTCAATTTAAAAAAAAAAAAACAGTTTCTCAAATGTACTGTCTGGTGCACTCTCAACTATAACCTGGCACACGAGGAAAGGAGCCAAAGTAAACAAGAACCAATGGAACCAGCAGAAAACAACAGGTAACAGTGACAGACTCACAGGGGCTCCGATAGTAGTTCTCCAACTCAGACCACATTTAATACACTCCAGAACACTACTGATAACATCAAAATTTTCAGAACTCGAAACCATAAAAATTAACATGCTAATCTGAAAAAGAACCAAAATAAAGTTCGAAAACTAAAATAACCTAAAATCAGCCAATGGATGGGTTGAATAGCAGATTAGGCAAAACAGAAGAGAGAATTAGTGAACTGAGAAACAGCTCTGTCCATAGTGAAGGACAGAGAGGTAAAAAAATGGAAAATATAAAATAATCTGTAGACTACAGAGGATATAGTAGTAACAAGGTCTAACACATGTTTCATTAGGAGTCTTGGAGAAAGAGAAGAAATGAATGGAGCAGAAGATACAATAGTAGAGAATTTGTCAAATGGGATGACGGACGTCAAGACATACATATTTAAGATGCCCCCTGAAACCCAGATAAGATGAAACAACAAACACGTCATGGTACAGATGCTGAAAACCAAAGATAAAGGGAAAAAATTCCAAAGGCAATCAGAAGGGGAGAAAAGCAGTTATTCTCACAGTAGTAACAGTTGTCAAATGACAACTGTTATCTTAAAAGATAAAATGGAAGCTGGAAGACAGTGGAACAGTACTGTGGATGTGTTGAAAGAATAGTGGACAACACAGTCTGCAAAAATATCTTTCGGTAATAAAGATGAGGTACAGATATTTCAGAGAAACATAAACCGCAAGAATTCCCCATCAGTAGACAGACAGCAGGCCTTTGCTCTGTATCTTTTGCTGTAATAAACCTTATCTATAACTATAACCTGTTATTGTGTCTTATGAGTCCTTCTAAAGTATCGCTGAATTTGAGGCGGGTTGTAAGACACACTCGCCCCATCAAAAAAAAATATCCAACAGAAATGCATGAACAAGTGAACCAAGAGACATAAACAGCACTATTTATAGCACCATTGTTCATAATAGCCCTAAAGTGGGTATGACTCAAATGTCACCCAATAGTAGAATGAATAAATAAATTGTAGTACATTTACGCAATGCAGTGCTACGCAGCAATGGAAATCTCTAAACAATAGATACATCCAACATCATGGATAAATTTCACAAATATAATTTTGAGCAAAAAAAGCCAGACATAAGAGAGTATATGGTTTATGAGTCCATTTACATAAAGTTCAAAATAGACGAAATTAAATAACAATGTTTTGCAATGCACGTTAGGCAGTAAAACTCTCAAGAAAAGCAAGGAAAGGAAATGATGAGCATAAAAGATAAAACAGAGGTTACCACTGGGCAGAAAGGAAAGAGGGGCTGCCTTTGGGAAGCGAGACAGAAGTCTTGTGGAGTGTTAGTGACAATCTATTTCTAACCAGGACAGTGGTTACACAAGTGTTCACCTTATTGTGATTAATTACAAAACAACGTATTCACAGGTTATTCACTGCCGCATAAATGCCCATCAACACAGAACCAGTTGGATAAACAGTGATACATTCATGCTAGGAAATACTATGCATCAATAAAAAGGAATAAGGAAAATCTCCACGTGTTAATATGGAGTGATCTCTACTGCTAAGCAGAGAAAGCAAAGTACAAAACTGAGTAGTCTGCTACCTTTTATGTAAGAAAAAATATATGTGTGTGAATATACATACATACATATATGGGCATATTAATGCATACATATATACTCACACATATACATGCACATATATAAATGTATATAAAACACATACATAGGTATATATTAATTATATAAATAGCTTATTTTTGCCATAAACACTAGAAGGCTAAATCAGAATCTAATAAAAACAACTAATGAAGGTGGAAAAAGGAGGTCGGGAGAAAAAGTGGAAGGTGTGGGGAAGATTTCTCTGAGAATACTTTTTTTGACACCTAATGTGGATTTCTGAACCATGTAAATGTATTACATATTCAACAATTAAATGAAATCAAAAGAAAACCAGAAAAAAACCCTAAAATTGAAAACAAACTGTAACGAATCCAACTTTATATCAAATACGTAATACAACTACAGGAAAAATAATTATTTCATATGACTTTGGTCATAATACTCTGTACCTCTGTACGCCCTTAATGGAATATTTTTAAAAACAAAAAGAACCGCAAAAAAATTTTTTCTTAGAGACAGGGTCTCGCTCTGTTGCCCAGGCTGGAGTGCAGTGATGCGATCACAGCTCATTGTAGTCTCAAATGAGCTCAAAGTCCTCAAAGTCCTGAGCTCAAGCCATCCTCCTGCCTCAGCTTCTTGAGTTGCTGGGATTATAGGCTCATGTCACCATGCCCAGCTAATTTTTTTCATTTTGTTATACATACAGGGTCTTGCTGTGTTGTCCAGCCTATTATAGCACTTCCAGTCTCAAGTGATCCTCCCACCTCAGCCTCCCAAATAGCTGGGACTACAGGCACGTGCCACCATGCCAGGCTAATTGACAATTGCAAAAAAATTTAAAACTTTACTCAGTAGTTGCATTACTGGGAACCAAGCTTTTTAGTATAAGGAAAAAGAGATAAAATGTAAAATCAAAGAGCTTTACAGAGAAAAGATCCCTGAAATGTTAAATTTGAATTGGAAATACTAATGTAAATTCAAGACTTGGAAAACATATATTACTTGGCTCCGTCCCCTGAAGTGCTCAGAAGCGTCACCATCCCAGGGGCTATGAGCGCACGGAGTGCCCAGATCTTAGTTTCTAAATATCGCAGCCCATTAAAGGAACCGGCTCTTGAGAAGTGGCTGATTTCCGGTCTGATCAAAGAAAGGCTGAGCTTAGTTGTGCATTAAATCAAGGAAGCCCTCAAAAAATAATGAGGCTCACTCAAGAAGAAGCAGATCACTTGAGTAGTCCTGTATTTATTACATAAATTGCGTTTTGAATTAAAAACTTTCTCACAAAGAAAACTCCAGGCCCAGGGAGCTTCATTGGAAAATTACGCCAAACATTTAAAAAAGAAATAACACCAATTCCATACTCATTTTCCCAGAACACTGAAGAGCTGCGCGGTGTGAACTGCAGAAGCTCCACCTGCTGTGATCCTGGGGCGAGGCCCACAAACAACGGAGCGCACTGCGCTGGGTTCGCTGCTGCCGAGACCGAAGGGCTCCGCCACACAGTGACGTACGAAATACGACCCCAGCGAGTCCCGGCTGCAGTTGCTCACGGGACTCAACGCAGCCAGCAGCGACAGCCAAGGCCACGGCGCGGCTCTCGCTCCCCCCGCCCGAGAGCGGGGACCCCGGGACTTACAGCTCGTCCTCGAAGCAGACCTTGGCGTAGTTGCTTCTGCCGCCGCCGCTGAGCAACCGGTAGGCGTAGGTGTTAGGCGGGCACGCCGTCCAGTGGTCGCATTTCTGCCTTTTGGGGGCTGGGGCTGCAACGAAGCAGAACAAGCGTTCGCGTCACCGCCACCCGCCAGGCGCACTTACCGCCGCCGCCGCCACCGCGCCCCACCAGCGCCCCCCGCGGGGCTGGGCAGAACTGCATTTCCTCGGGCCGCCGGGAGCTCCCTGCGGACAGTTAATTTAATCTGCTGTTGTTTTATAGTGACAAATAAGCCAAGACGGGGGAATGGGAGTAGGTACGACCGGGACTCGCTTCCCACGGCTGCCCCTTGTAAGTAACATTCTTGCTGCGCAGGGTGCACCCGCATCGCAATGAATGCAAGGCTGCGGGGCTGAGGGTGCTGGTCACAGCCACCTACGGACATCTGCACAGCTGTGCGCGTGCACGCCTGAAACACCTCACACGCACACACCCACGCTCACTACACACACACCACACACATGAACATGCACACACCATGTGCACCACAAAGGAACACACACACCACACACCACACACCACACTCACTACACACACACCACACACATGAACATGCACACACCATGTGCACCACAAAGGAACACACACACCACACCAAACTCACTACACACACCACACACATGAACATACACACACCATATGCACCACAAATGAACACACACACCACACATGAACACACAAACCACACACTCATCACACATGCACATGAACACACACACACCACACACCACATACACACCACACACTCATCACACATGAACACACACCACACCAAACTCACTACACACACCACACACATGAACATACACACACCATGTGCACCACAAAGGAACACACACCACACACCACACCCCACACTCACTACACACACACCACACACATGAACATGCACACACCATATGCACCACAAAGGAACACACACACCACACACTCATCGCATATGAACACACACACCACACACGTCACACATGAACATACACATACCATATGCACCACAAATGAACACACACCACACACTCATCACATATGAACACACACCACACCAAACTCACTACACACACCACACACATGAACATACACACACCATATGCACCACAAATGAACACACACACCACACATCACATACACACCACACACCACACCACACACAAGACACACATCACACATGAACATACACATACCATATGCACCACAAATGAACATACACACCACACATGAACACACAAACCACACACTCATCACACATTCACATGAACACACACACCACACACCACATACACACCACACACTCATCACACATGAACACATACCACACATCACACTAACACACACACACCACACACTCCACAAATGAACATACACACACCACAGTTACGACGCACACTCACCACACATACCACACACATCACACATGAACACATACCACACATCACACATGAACACACACACCACATACCACATACCACACACATGCCATTCATCACACAGGAACACACACACTACACACTCACCACACACACCACGCTCACCACATATACACCACACATACACTATACATACCTCACAGGCATCACCCATGAACACCCACACACTACACACATACCACACCACATACACCACACATCACACATGAATACACACACACACCACACATACCACATACTCACTACACACTCTGCAAACATGTCACACATAAACACACACTCACCACATACATAGGACACACCACACACCACACCACACACATCACACATGGACACACACAATGCACAACACACACACCCCACATACACCACACACCATACATGAACACACAACACACTCACCACATACACGCCACATACCACCACACACACTATACACACATCACACACACCACACACTCCACAAATGAACATACACCACAGTTACGACATACACATACCACACACATCACACATGAACACATACCACACATCACACATGAACACACACACCACATACCACATACCACACACATGCCATTCATCACACAGGAACTCACACACTACGCACTCACCACACACACCACGCTCACCACATATACACCACACATACACTATACATACCTCACAGGCATCACCCATGAACACCCACACACCACACACATACCACACCACATACACCACACATCACACATGAATACACACACACCACACATACTACATACTCACTACACACTCTGAAAACATGTCACACATGAACACACACTCACCACATACATAGGACACACCACACACCACACCACACACATCACACATGAACACACACAATGCACAACACACACACACCCCACATACACCACACACCATACATGAACACACAACACACTCACCACATACACGCCACATACCACCACACACACTATACACACATCACACAGGAACACGCACACCACACTCACCACACATGACACACACAATACACACCCTACACCACACACACTCACAGACACACATCTGACCACTATCCTGACCACAGCTGAGCCACTCTCCTTTCACTAGAGCCCGAGGAACCGCGCATTTCTGCCTGGCGTACTGCGATGTCAGTGCTGGCCGGAGTGAAGATGTCTCTCCCAGGACCCTTATTTCACAGGGGTCGGCAATTTGGGAGGGTTGAGGGACCTGAGGAGCCCGGCTGGCCCTGGACACTGCCTCCCCGGCACGCTGTCCAGTTGCTCCACCGGGAGCAGCTGTCTGTCACCACCACGGAACTCCCAGGGCTGCGCTCATGCAGATTAAATCCCAAGTTCCCAGGAAGACATTCAGCAAGCACCCTCTCACCCTTCCAGTCTGACTGGGGTCTGGGCTCTCTGTTGTGTGGACTGCTGCGCTCTGACTCAGTGCACTCAAAGTAAGGAATGCAGTCAGTAATGTGGCGGAGTACACGTAAGACAGGATACCGTGAGTAAGGGATCGAAGCATTCCACCGCAGAAAATCATATAATCACAAAGGAGGACAGCAAGACTAAAAGGAAGAAACAAAGGATCTACAAAACAACCAGAAAGCAATTAACAGGATGGCAGCAGTAAGTCCTTACCTATCAATAATTACATTAAATGTAAATGAATTACATTCCCCAATCAAAAGACATAGAATGGCTGAATGGATTTAAAAAATAAAAAACAGAAAAACAAGACCTAACTATATGCTGCCTATAAGAGATTCACTTCACCCTGAAGGACACACACAGACTTCCATGTAATGGAAATCGACAGAGAGCAGGGGTAGCTATACTCGTATCAGTTAAGATAGACTTTAAGTCGAACTGTAAGAAAAGACAAAGAAGGTCATCACATAATGATAAAGGGGTCAATTCATCAAAAAGATAGAACAACTGTAAATACATATGCACCCAACATTGGCAAGTCTAAATATATAAAGCAAATATCAGGAGACCCGAAGGGAGGGAGAGACCGCTCTGCACTAACAGTAGAGGACTTCAGTACCCAACTTTCAACAGACAGATCAGCCAGACCAAAAATCAATAAGGAAACACTGGACTTTGTTATAGTCTATTCAGGCTGCTATTAAAAAAACACCGTACACTGGGTAATTTGTAAACAACAGAAATTTATTTCTTACAGTTCTAGAGGCTGGGAAATCCAAGGTCAAGGGGCCAGCAGATTCAGTGTGTGGTGAGGGCCCATTTTGCGTAGATGGCACCTTGTTGCTGCGTCCTCACGTGGTGGAAGGGGGCAAACGTGCTCCATCCAATCTCTTTCATAAGGGTACTAATTCCACTCCTAAGTGCTCTACCCCCTTTCTTAATTCGGCTTGTTTTATTCATTCCCCAAAGGTCCTACTTCTTATCACATCGGTGATGAAGTTTTAACACATAAATTTTGGTGGGACACCAACACTCAGACCACAGCAGATCTGAACTACACTTTAGACAAGTTGGACCAATAGACACATACAGATTATTCCATCCAGCAACAACAGAATTCACATTCTTCTCAAGCACACATGGAACATTTTCCAGAATAGATCATATGTTAGGCCACAAGACAAGGTTAAAAAATTTAAGAAGATTGAAGTGATATCAAATATCTTTTCCTGCTCCAAAGGTATAAAACTTGAAGTCAATAATAGGAGTAATTTCAGAAAATTCACAAATACAAAGAAATTAAACAACATGCTCCCAAACAACCAATGGGCTGAAGAAGAAATTAAAAAATATTTTGAGACAAATGAAAATGGGAACACAACATACGAAAGCTCATGGGACGCAGCAAAAGCAGTTCTAAGAGAGAATTTTATAGTAATAAATGCCTACATCAAAAAAAGAGAAAAGTCTCAAATAAACAACCTAAAGTTACACCTCAAGGAAATAGAAAAAGAAGAACAAACTAAGCCAAAAGTTAGCAGAAGGAAGGAAATAACAAAGATCAGAATAGAAATAAATGAAATAGAGACTAGAAAAATAATACGAAAGGTCAAAACAACAAAGAGTTGGTTTTTTAAAGAGATAAAATCAACAAACTCAGCTTAAGAAAGAAGACTCAAATAAATAAAATCAGAAATGAAAGGGAGACATTACAACTGATACCACAGGAGAACAAAGGATCATACAAGACTGCTAGGAACACATTATACATCAATGCTCTAGATAACCTAGAAGCAATGGGTAAATTCCTAGAAACATACAACCTACCAAAACTGAATAGGAAGAAACAGAAAATCTGACCAGACCAATTAAAGTAAGGAGATTGAATCAGTCATAAAAAGTCTCCCATCAAAGAAAAGTCCAGGACAGTGGCCTCGCCACCCGGCTGGCGCACATCCTGTGCTCACACTTCCCAGACGCGAGCGGTGCTGATTTTGCCTCCGTGCAAATCACGTGCTCTGGGAGGTCCCAAAGGCGACGCGCAGAGGAGAGAAGCGGCGCTCACATGAGAAGTTAAACCGCTCAGGGGGAAGGAGAGGGTGAGAAAGGGAAGGAGCCTCCGTTCCACACTGCTGGAGAGGTCAGAAAATAATCAGCACTTTCATGATTGAGCTACGGGCTGTGCCTGCAAACATTTCAAA